TGCTTCTCCCTTGCTTGTGCTCTTCAATTTGCCATGAGCCCTCCTCATTTAAGTCTAAATGGTGCGCAGCTCAAAGCATCGAACATAACATCCTCTGTTGAAGCATGCTGGAGCCATGGCAAGCTGCTCACAGTCACCCTTCTACCATCTTTTGGAAGGATGTGTTGGGGTAAAATGCAGTAAGGAATCCTATGTGGGCGTGACCCTGTCGAGATCTGGCGCTTGTGGCAACTGAACATGCCAACGAACTCCAAGTGAGTGATTTGCCCTCAGCCCGCATAATATAGCTTCAGCCGTTCTCTTCTTCCCGCATTTGCGGCGAGAATGCTGAGTGAAGCAAAACTAAACAATCCGATCTGAACAGTGGGCCGCTTCTGCTGCAGTTGCCTCCCAAACCTTGACTTCTGAAAAGCTAAGCAACCAGCAAAGCCCATCCAATACGAAGCGATCCAAAAACTACTTGCATTGCTCATAGCATGCACCGCTGCTGGCTGGGACGCCACTCGGCTGCCCCACTTTGTAAGGATGCAGCGCGCTTTGCCAGAACAAAACCTCTACAGCCAGAGTTGCATGACTTGCTTCGGCCTGAAACTGTCAGAGCAGGTCAACAGTGTCAACCTTCTACAGGCTCTTCCCTTAAACACCCGCTCAACAAGCCCGCCAAGGGATGAGGCCTAAGCCTTGGATGATACAGAATCAATTGCGCGTTCTGTGGGTCGAATGTCATTGGCTGCTACTTGCGACGCATGCCCAAGTGCTTCTCCAGGCACCACTCCAGGTTCCTCGAGGCAGGGCCCCTAGAACCATTCCAAATGGCGCATATCGCGAGATTCGTTCTTGTGTTTACGCAACCTACAATACGCATGACCTGACGCCTCAAGCGGTGTGTTGGTGGGAAAGCTGTTTAGATGTGTGTCCATGTTATCATATTTTTGCAAGCATGGTATGGGTACAAGGCTAGGATGGAGATGCTCGATAACTCTTTTTGGCTCGCCGGTCTACCCTACTTGACAAGAGCAAGTTGGGAGCGGCAAGGGACGATACAAAGAACAAGCCCTGAATGAGACTGTCACTTGGTCAACCTGGGCGCTCAATGCAAACGAACCATGGCGCCTCAGCACTGCTTGTGTGCCTAGCTGGGACTCTAAGCAGTGTACCATTGGCGTTTTTTCTCATAAGATCCAGCTACGGTGCACACCTCTCAGGCTGAGGGCGTGCCAAACCGAAACAGGGCTGGGTGTCTTTCGAAGACCGCCCGGCCTGTACATCAAGTACACCAGGACAGCTCCGAGCAGGCCGCCTCCGAACCACAGTCCTCAAGTGCATGTGCGGCTCTGCGCAGTGGTCAAATGATAAGTCCTCTCTGGAAACAGCGGATTTTCATCTCAACCTTAAAAACTCGCAAACCCAGAATTCCAATCGGATAGAAAAGCGCAGCATGGTGCAGTTCCAACCCCCAACCCCCTAACGCCACATGCTGCCCTGGGTGCCGACCACTGCGCCCGTGCTCCATTGGGGAAGCTCCGAATTGTATGCCACCAGCGCGATCCCGAGGTGCCAAAAGGTCGCCCACTGCCGCAAAAAAAAAACGAACCGTGAGCCGTGTCATGAGGGCATGGAATTGGAGGGAATGCTGTTGGACGTAATGGGACCAGACACGGGCCCTGCTTGTTCCAATGACACGTAGCGAGTCACACAACTAGGCGTCGCTGTTGCATGACACGACTTCAATAGAACAAGCCCTCAATGACGCTCAGAAGCACTCACACAGGGCCCCCTCCGGGAAAAAAACAAAACAAAAAACAGCGGCATCATGCCCATGAAACTAATGCAGTGATGTACTTAATTCAATACGTTGGATCGGCTCTGGCGTGTTCTTTCAGCGTCTTGCGGACGCCTGTGGCAGGGCTACAGAGACATCAGTGAGGATGTCAGGTGATATGTGAATTCGAAAATGTTTGCTACCTGTCGGACCCCGTTTTTTGGTGCCCTGAACTTGGGCACCTTCGTTGACAGCTGCATGCTGGCCTCATGGCGCTCCCCGCCTGGACTGCGAACACCGAAAAGGCCTCCTGGGGTCCATGCACCAGCCGCGCATCCCGGGGCACCCCCCGGCGTTTCACCTCACGAGACGAGAACAAAGCTATCCTGCGAACTGCGGCCTTCCTGCAAACCACATTTAGGCAGCATGCCGTTGATGCAAGATGATGCAAGTGTGCCCACGTCCACCCTTACACAATCTTTCCCCTAGGAAAGAAACCCTATATACACTCCGTGAAAGCCCCTTCGAGCGACCGACGCTCGACCCTGGGCGCCATGAAGAGCTTTGTGAGCTTGACGCGCACTTCCAGCAGGCGCGCCAGCAGAGTCGGCAGCACCAATAACGGCTTCAAGGGAGCGAAGAGCAGCACGAAGAGGAAGCTGAGCCTTGGCGTGCTGTTGCGTCATGAGTCAACCCACAAAAACAAGAACTAGCACAAGCACTGATGAACATGCAACATATTGCATTGCACTGCATTGCACTGCAATGTGTTGCATTGCATTGCATTGCATCGCATCGCATCGCATCGCATCGCATTGCATTGGGTTAAGTTGCATCGAGTCAACCAACATTAACAAAAAGACACACACACACACACAACGCAACACAGCACAGCACAGCACAGCACAGCACAGCACAACACAATCAACCAAACAAACACATAGAAAAACAATCAAATCTATCCATTAATCCATCAATCCATCAATCCATCAATCCATCCATCCATCCATCCATCCATCAATCCATCCATCCATCCATCCATTCATCAATCCATTCATTAATCCATCCATCTATCCATCCATTCATCCAAAACAAAAACAAGCAAACCATAAAATCAAGTATATCCATAAATAAGAAACAAAGAAACACACCAACCCATCTCAACCCACCCCAAATTCAATCCTATCTCTACATGACGAGGTGCAAATCAGCCTGGTGGTACAACCGATTTCTGATTGCAATGCATGCGTGCCTGTTATCACGGACCTAGCCTCTCCTTGTTCTTGACACCTGCTTAACACCGATGTTGGTTATGGGCAAGCCCATTTCCAGGCCAATGCCACAGCATGTTCGGGCGTCATGTCACCAAACGTTTGAATGAGACGGCGGGACGTTTGACCAAGAGCCCACCAGGTTTGCAGCAAAGCATCTTCAACTCCTTCATCTCTTCAAGAGCGTCGAACTCACGCAGTACCACCTGGTGGTAGTGGCAGGCAAGCAGTTCATTCTCATGCAGAAGGCATGAAACCTGCCAAACTAAGAAGTTAAGAAATCCCATCACTCTGGGGGGTGAGTGCTTGCAGTCCTTGCACCCAGCTATGCTTATCTGCATTCTGCATGACTGGGAGGCTCAACACCAAAGCTTCGAATTGCGGTGCCCAGCCTGCTCCAAGGCTCCTTCAACATTCTCGAGCGCTTCCTCGTCTGCCTGCCGGAACACAGCGAGCAGCTTGGGGTGGGGACGTCAGCGGATGATGTGCTCTATATGCATCTGCGTGCGCGCGCTCGCTCGCGCGCGTGGCGCGCGCGCGCGTGCGCGCGTGCGCGCGTGCGCGCGCGCGCGCGCGCGTGCGTCTGTGCGTTTGTGCGTTTGTGCGTTTGTGCGTTTGTGCGTTTGTGCGTTTGTGCGTTTGTGCGTGCGTTTGTGCGTTTGTGCGTTTGTGCGTTTGTGCGTTTGTGCGTTTGTGCGTTTGTGCGTTTGTGCGTTTGTGCGTTTGTGCGTTTGTGCGTTTGTGCGTTTGTGCGTTTGTGCGTTTGTGCGTGCGTGCGTGCGTGCGTGCGTGCGTGCGTGCGTGCGTGCGTGCGTGCGTGCGTGCGTGCGTGCGTGCGTGCGTGCGTGCGTGCGTGCGTGCGTGCGTGCGCGTGCGTGCGTGCGTGCGTGCGTGCGTGCGTGCGTGCGTGCGTGCGTGCGTGCGCGCGTGCGCGTGCGTGCGTGCGTGCGCGCGTGTGCGTGCGTGCGTGCGTGCGTGCGTGCGTGCTGCGTGCGTGCGTGCGTGCGTGCGTGCGTGCGGCGTGCGTGCGTGCGTGCGTGCGTGCGTGCGTGGCGTGGGTGGGTGGGTGCGTGCGTGCGTGCGTGCGTGCGTGCGTGCGTGCGCGCGCGCGCGCGGGTGTGTGTGTGTGTGTGTGTGTGTGTGTCTGTGCGTAAGTGTGCGTGCGTGCGTGCGGGTGTGTGTGTGTGTGCGTAAGTGTGTGTGCGTAAGTGTGTGTGCGTAAGTGTGTGTGTGTGTGTGTCTCCGTGTCCGTGTCCGTGTCCGTGTCCGTGTCCGTGTCCGTGTCCGTGTCCGTGTCCGTGTCCGTGTCCGTGTGTGTGTGTGTGTGCGTGCGCGTGCGCGTGCGCGTGCGCGTGCGGGTGCGGGTGCGGGTGCGGGTGCGGGTGTGTGTGTGTGTGCGTAAGTGTGTGTGCGTGTGTGCAAGTGTGTGTGTGTGTAAGTGTGTGTGTGTGTATGTTTGTGTATGTGTGTGTATGTGTGTATGTGTGTGTATGTGTGTGTGTATGTGTGTGTGTGTATGTGTGTATGTGTGTATGTGTGTCTGTGTGTGTGTCTGTGTCTGTGTTCTATTGTTCCGCCTTGAGCAACTCCCCTCACACAGTCTGAATTGCTGCCTTCGGGCCCAAGACATCTCTTTCGCAGAATGCAAACACACTCCGAAAGGCCAGGTACCCCCCTTTTGCATTCGCAATAGCAAATTATATACATGATTATGGCACATGTAATGTGAGTAAATGTGAGTAAGATGCATATGATCTATGATGCTGCATGCGATGCCTTGGAACATATATTGGAACAAGTGGGGGCCTTCTCATATCTTGCAGACCCGGGGACTGAATCAGAATGCCCACTCCCAAGCCATCCAGCTGGAAGTCCCACTGTGACCCATTGCAAAGGCTCCGTATCGAACCCGCCAGCCCTTGGCCCGTTTGACCCCAGCTCTGCGAGGCCAGCGCGCGCCACGTTTTGCAATCTCAATCCGCGACAGACTCCGACTGCACGAGACGCGCGTCGTCAGGTCAGCGGGAAGTGAAAAGTCCACCCTGGACAACTATGGCAATCTACGGGTTCTGGCAGACCTTAGGCAAGTCACGAACAAAGAACTCCCTTTCCAAGCGACACAAGCTTGCGCGATCAAAAGCCAGCCAGCCCAATCTACAGGGGCAACTGTCAGGATGGGGGTTGGGGATCCAGCCCCCACACACAGAACCTGAACTCAGTCAAGCGGCCCAATCAGGAAACCAGCCCTCAGAGACGGCAGAACCTGCCGAGCGCCAGGCAAGGGGACCAAACAAAATGCCATTTGCGCAAACTGGGCACAGAATCTGCTGAAGACCTCTCAGTTGCCAGTATGAAACTGCCATTCAAACTCTGAATTTCCTGCCCAAAAAAGCAATTAATCAACAAGCTTGTAGCCTGACTCACGCGGACACAACCAACACGAGAGGCTTCAGTGAAGCTGCGCAACAGGAATGCATGCTACTCTTACCCCGTGTGGCCACCCTCAATACTTGAGACTAATCAAAGGGCCATCGAGATCGCTTTGCGGACAAGTGGGATGGCGATTGAGGCACCAAAACATACGTCCGACCTAAAGAATGACGCGGCATGGCAGCATGAGAATTGAATGCCCAGCAGTGCTTTCCTGGTGGCAAAACAAGGGGGGCAATGACAAATAGTAGGACACTGAACCAGGAAATACATTTAGTGCAATTATCTTGTTTGTAGCAACACATCTTAGTTGTTTTCGTGCCTAGAAAGGCAAGAGCCACTTAGACGAGGACCAAAGAGAAGCCAAAACTACTTGGACGGGCCTGATTCTGATTGCTGTTGCATTACGCTTTGCCCAGTTGACCTCACGTTTGTTTGGGGCCGCCTAATGTTGCTCGTTCGTTCCGTCATGCACGTTTCGGAACCCGTGTTTCATGTGAAGTTGAAGGGAACACCTGGGTATAGTTTTCTTTGATGGACATCATTTGGATTAGGTGAAGAGTCTACGTCCACCAGCCACTTTTAGGGGCTTCCCTATTGAAATTCATGGCCACCTCTTCAAAGCCGATGCGGTGCTTCGGGACGAGCGCCTTGCACCATCTTCCGGCCAAACGTCCAGCCAGTAGAGTGGCGCTCGACAATCTCCAGGAGATCCGTGGTGCCCACAGACATCTGAGACTCGCTTCCTGCAAACAGCTCGGGGAAATGCCTGGGAAATGCCTGGGATATTCATCCCCACTGTCCAGTAAAACTGCCAAGCAAAAATGAGCTGTGGCCCCGTTTGGCTGCACTCAAACACACCATCTCCTCCTGTGTTGATGCTTTAAGGATTGAGCAGTCGTAAAAGCATTTCATAGCATGTCTAGTGCTGTAGAAAATCTGCACTCACATCATGACTCACGCTTCCCCAAAGTGCCCTATATAGGCGAAATCCCCAAATAATGGTCGCAGTCTGTGCATACCAAGGCTCCAGAGGAAAAGTTCCGCGAAGCTCGTACCAAATCTCTCACCACATTCCGCTTGGCATCAGCTTCTGGAGTTGGTCGCTGCAAAACCTGGCGGCCGGCCGGCTTGCGCGTGTGCTGGGACCGGGATTAGTTACGCATCTGCTCGAGAACAAAAGGTGGGGCTTCTCAAAACGATGGGACTCTTTTGGATGGTGTTCAAGGGCACCTAAAGGAAGGAAGCCATTCCAGGGGTCCTCAATCTTGACAAACCCACAGGTAGCTTGAAGCCAGCTACTCAAAGCAGCAAGTGCACCATGGCGCCTGCGCTGGGGCTGTGGGTGCCGCCCGAGCTTCCCGATCTCTGTCCCTGGTCTGCCTTGGACGGCACACGGCGACCAGGTGGCCAAACATCGGACAAGAATGCTGGCCAAGCGTGTTCTTCTGTCAGACCTGTCAAGCTCTGGAGGGCACTACAGTGCATTTGCTGAACAAACCTGTGCCTGGCTTGCTTCTGATATACCAATCCAATGGCGATCCCTGAAGTTACAACTTGCAAGAAGGCAGAGCCTTGATTGCCTGACATTTGTCTTTCCAACAAGGCCCCAAAGCACTCCAGTTGACCATGCAAGCGAACCCATGTTGCCCCTACACCCTTTGGGAAATGGTTTGATGCGACTGATCCTAAATCTGACAATCACCGCAAAGCGGCAGAACCAAGCCAACACCACCACCACCACCACCACCACCACCACCAGCACCACCAGCAGCAGCAGCAGCAGCAGCACCACCAGTTGTTGCAGAGCTCAACCCCCCGCGAGATTCCAGAGCCAAAAGGATGTTTTGTCTGAGCTCCTTAAGGCAGCCAAGCTGCACCAAATGCTTCTCTTCCGCCTTGGCCCGAGCCGGTGCCACCGGTGCAACCGATGCCACTGGAGCGGGAGTTGGCGCCGGCGCGGGCGCCGGTGCGGGCGCCGGAGCCGTCACGGCCACTGGCAACGCCGGCACCACTGGGGCTGCCGGGGCCGCCGGGGCTGGGGCCACTGGTGCTGCTGGAGCTGCTGCCGGTGCGGGGACAATCCACGACGGCACCCAACCCGCGGCAGTTTTGACTGTGAGGTTCTTGGCGTAGCTCCAGCCGGTGACGTGAGTCTCCAAGATCTCGATCAGATCCTCAAATGAATCAGAAGCTTTATTTCAACAGATGAAAATCAAACAACAACAACTCATCATGATTGCCACAGATTGCCAAGCGACTCCCTGGCGCACTGGCACCATGGTGGGCCCTGTAGGGTCGAAATGGCCCACCGCATGGCCTTGGTAGCCAGCTCCCACCTGCGGCGCTGGAGGCTCCTCTCTCCGAGGCTGGACCTGAGCCCAGTGTTGCCCAAGCTGTGAGATATTGATCCAAGCCTGTCCCTTCCTTCCCTTCCCGCCTGCGGCGCTGGCTGCACAGCAGGTGCCGGCGTGGGAGCAGGGGTCACAGCTGGCGCTGGGACTGGCGCTGGCGCCGGCGTAGCCGCGGGTGCGGGCACGGGTGCAGGCGTTTGCTGCGGCCTTTCCTCTGGCCGGGTGACCGGCGCGGGCGCTGCTGGCGCTGCTGGCGCTGTTGGCGCTGCAGGCGCCACTGGAACAGTGGCTGCGGGGGCTGCTGGTGCAGCAGCCGGTGCTGCAGGCGCCATGGGTGCCGCTGGTACTTTGGGAGCCTCAGTCCAAGTGTGGCTCAGTTCACGCCAGCATGTTTCAAGATTTATGTTGTTTGCCTCGGCGAGATGGGGCTGAGCGAGCGAAGCACTTCCAAGTGGAGTCAATAGCATCCCCATATTCAGTACAAATTGTTGACAATTGAAGTCCCCGTGTTTGCTCCAACTGAGATGTCTGGCACGAGGCCGGACCACCCTCAGATATTCCGCAGCTTCCCTTCATCAAATCTTGCTTGCCGTTAAAAGGAGAGCAACAAATCAAATGTTAGCAGTCAAGCGGGGATTTCCCGCTAAACCGCAACCAAGCAAAAATGCAAGAATATGTTTTCCAACAACAACCATAGATATCACACGGATTTCCCGGGTGCTAACCCGGGCGCAGCCGGATTTCGCCGCGGCGCCGGCGCCGGCGCCGGGAAAGACTTGGCCGTTGCCTTCGGCGAGGCCTTGGCCGGCGAGGCTTTGGCCATCTGCTTCGCCTCGGAGGGAGGCTTGAGTCGTGGCACTGGGTTTTGAGAAAAACCTTGGGCTGGGATTTTAGAAAACCCGATCGATACGATTTTGGCTTTACTAACAAGATTACACCAGCATAGACCCCAGATAGCGAAACACGTGCCAACGATTGCACGGTGGCACCTGCACAAGAATCCCCCAAATTGCATGCCACCTAGCACGCTGCCGTCAATCTCGCAAAAACACACCTGGCCATCACCAGGCCCCCCAAAACAGCACCTGCACCAGCCATCAATCTCGCAAAAACACCAAGCCCGTCACCGGCCCCCCAAAACCATCAGCGCCATCACCCCGAACAACACTCCCAAAGCACCCGGCCGTCAATCTCGCAAACATGCACCCGCACCATCACCAGCACCTCAAAGAGCACCCCAAACACCATCCCAAAGCAGCACCTTCGCGAGCGACTGCATGCCTAGCACCCTAGCCGGCAATCTCGCAAATCGCTTTCCCTTCTTTATTAGACGCTAGAACCCCTATAGCTTTCAGCTATCTGGGAGAAAAAACATTGGACATGATTTTGGCTTTATATTAAAAACCCAATGGACAAATATTTCAGATTGACCATCACTTAAACCAGACCTGGCAAGTCACAGGCGCAGGGCTCGGCTGGGGCTTCTCCACGGTCTTCGCCTCTGGATGGTCCCCGTCTGCCAGCGGCATGTTCTGGCAAACCTGGCGATCAAAAATCTCAATCAAATGAATAACACAACCTGGTTTCTGCTGACCCCTCCGCAACAAGTTTAATTTTTGTGGGTTTAGTGGAAAACTTCTTGATTTCCCAACAAGATAAAGTCTAAAGATCCAACCCAATAGCAGTCAAGACAAGTTCCATGTCTGACTCTCAGGGCAGCTCAATTTCAGCTTTAGTTTTCAATGCTGCGATGCTGGATGGGTTGAAGAGTGTTGAGATTGGTATGCCAGGGTCAGCACATGTTGCCAGTATGTCTTAAAGGACCACCATAGCTTAGCTCACATGTTGGCTCCAGGAGCGAAGCGACTGCCACAGGTCAGTGCCTTTCCAAAGCCAGTGCAAAGTGTGATCTGGGACGCTTGATCGGCGCATTGTTTCGCTTGATCGGAGTGATCTCCCACCATGTAGCCTTAGCGGTGTTTTCTGGGCTGCGGCTCGTGTGGCCTGTCGTGCAATCAGCTTGTTCGGTCTTGCGATTTTGGGTGCAAGTTCTGTGCCAGCTTTGCCTTTACTCATCCTCATGCACTCTTGGCTTTCACAGACTGCCACAGCAACACTTCTCACAGCCAGCAAGTAAGTCGGACTTCGTGGTTGGCAACATCACGAATCTATTGCAACACCTGTTTTGGAGGTTTCGCAAAATCAATATACTGCCTATCTCTTGATCACGCCAAGTGATGACAAAAGAGCCGAAACTCTGGCAACTCTGGCCTCCCAGTGCTTCTGGTATGTGCCATACTCTCCCTGCCAGTCGCACTTGCCGTCTTTGCGCAGCTTGGGGTTGTTCTGGCAAATAATGCGCAAGCCAGAAAGCATCCTCCAAAGCAGCACGTTCTCACCTTGGATGCACAAGCGGCTTTGCCGGGAGAAAGAAAAGTCGTGTTGAAAAAGAAGCTCGGGCTGCCGGAAAACAAAAGCAGTCTTGCAGCCGTGTTGCCTCGCTGTGTGTCCGAAGACACTGAAACCAGGTCCTGATTCTCATTCAAGATGTTCTTGCAAACTGGGCAAGGTACACATCGGTCAGGACCAGCAGCTTTTGCCTCAGGCAGGCGCTGAGAAGCAAAGGAAGCGATTCAACATGAAGTCAATTGGCAAAACGCAACTCGAAAGATGGATAGCAGCCAAGTAGCACTCAACCGGGCGGGCACTTGCGGTGACTGCGTACAGTACTCATGCACAAACACTGGCATCTGGAGCAAGGCTTCGTAGAAAGGGCTTTGAGCAGGGAAGGCATGCAGGGAACCATCTTGATTAAACCAACTGGCAGCCGGGGGGGAGACCCTGATGCAAGGCCGGAATATATGATGCATGCGCGTCTGCAAAGGCCGCACACACACACTCGCACACAACAAGTGCCACTAAAACATGCAGAATAAGCATGGTCCAGACACAGCAAAACAAGAGGAGCAGGATGAAACACAGCAAGCGACCCAAGCATCAAACTGCAGGCTGCGCCAAGCTGCTCGCTGTGCCCAGGTCTGTGTGTCCGGGTGCTGGTTGAACCACTGGGCAATGCAGTCTCCACAAAAGAGGTGCGAGCAGCTGGTGAGCTTTGGGCGGCATCCGACCACATGGATCTGGCAGATCTTGCAGATGAACCTGAGCCGTCATTATTTTTGCAGTCTTGCATTCTGGATTCCAACCGAGTTTCTTGGCGAAGAAAGTTAATTTGAAAGGGTTGCCACTGGTCGGACTAGGGGGTTCAGTGCAGTTCAAAGGGTTGCCACTGGTCGGACTAGGGGTTCAGTTGCAGCCAGCAGTGACCAAATTTCTTTGGAAAGGGAAACTAGTGATGAATCATGTATTCACCCATCAGTGAATGACATGATGCACTGGAATCTGCGACTTCAGAATGAGTGGGTTTGAAGCATAAGCTCGCTGAAGAAACAGACCCGCACCCTTCAGGTTCGCAGGTACTCCCAGTCTCACAACTGTCAACATGGCATCTGTTCTGAAATGTTCTGGGCCAACAGGCTAAAAGGCATTCTACTTCCGCCGAGGAGTTCTACCCAGCATCATGCTGCCAAAACCTCGGCAAATCCCGTTTCGGAAGCTGAGATTTATATTTCAGGGCAAGTGCAGGGAAGGTCAGAGTGCCGAAGACGCAGTGCAAACCATGACGCGTGCGGCGGCACAACAGCAAGCAGCAGGAAACATTGCGCACTTGCTTGTCAACATGCGCATGCAAACCGCATATGCTCCAATACACGTTCACTGCACATCCAAGCACCCAGTCAAACCCACGCAACTAACTCATCGGCCAAGTTGCTCTTCCCTCTCAGTGAGCAGCTGATCTTCCTGCACTTTCTGTTCCTCCGGCTCCAACTTCAAATCGGCACCTGAAGCAGGCCGGCTGGGGCACACGACACGGTGTCCAGCCAACCCTTGAACCATGCAAGGCTAAATTGCACTTCGTGTGAACCTGTCTGTCGGCGGATTTCTGGCACGGTGAAAACTGAGCTGGCACAGTGCAAATGCTCCTGGCCGGAAAGGTGCAAAGGCAGAGTGTCCGGTATTCAAAGCAACTAAGTGAATCCTGGATTCCGACCCAAGATCTTTGCAAGGCAAGCAGCGCTGCGCAGATTTAATCGCTACGGCCCTCGATTCAACATGGGCCGGTCTTTGTCCAGCCTACAATTGAGATTCCAAGAAACTGTCATTGGAAGCATCCAAAGGATGTCATGGCCGTACCCAAGGAACCCAAAGCGAAGCTCAAGCAGGGCGCTCTCAACCTTCACCGGCTTGGCTTTGGTTGCGATGATCTTCGTCTTGTCAATCTTGGCCTGGCAAAGTGACACTTGCCAGGAAAGGGCCGGTGGTCCAAGCTCTGCGGGCCTTCTCTTTCTTCTCTTCCTTTTTCTTCTTCTCCTCCTTCTTGTTCTTCTTCTGGGCCTCCTCAGCGATATTCAGAATTCGTGCCTTGCGTTCGAGCTACCGTCAAAATCACTTGTCTTCGTCAAGGAGGTTTTTATGTAGTTATCGTTTGTGGTGTATCGTTTTACAACGTTCTGCGCATCTTCTCGTTTTTGGTGGGGGCCTATCGTTTTGCGTGCCAACCCCGCTTTACTAAAGGGATCTACTCATACCTGACCGTGACTCATATGATGCCATGCCAAATACATGTGGCCTTGCTGCTGCTGCCGGCAAAATTCACCAACTGTCCCATGTGCGCAGGCTGCAAGTGCCAAGCTGGTGCTCTGGAACCCTATTTCCGAATGCTGTGGGGCAAGGCAATTTGGTCTGAAAAGAGTGCGGGGTTAAAGGGCCGCGTAAAATGTTCACAAGTCGTGGTGCGTAGTGTCTCTGGCATGAAAACACCTAAATGAACTTGCCACTGTGCCTGCAAAGTGGCATGCGTATGGTCGCTACCAACAGCATCGATTTCCCTGTGGTGCGGAAGAAAGCCAGCCCCGCGATCTTCCTTTTTATCATATGCTTTTGCGTGGCATATGGTGGGGTGGTGTCCTTTTTGAGCGCTCGCGGGACATACTGTGTCCTTAACGTGGCTTGCACAGGCTCTTCTCCCGATCTGGGGCTCTGGTACTACACTTAGGGTCAACCAGGCTACTGCTTTTGCAATCACTACTGCCGACCCCTTGAACCAAACAACACTTGACAAGGACTGTCCAGTCCCCCTCCCGCAAATGCCAGCATGCGACCTTCAGGGGCCTCACTGCCCAAACGTGCGTCTGTGGGGCTAGTGTGGGCTAGAAACCGCAGGGCTGCAAACGATCATGCCGGGCTCAGATGTGCAGCGCGAAGGGTGCACAATAAAGACTGTCGCATTAACCCCTTAAAGGCTGTCCTCGGCCCCCAAAAATGTAATTAAAGGACCGGATAACCCCACATGCGCGACGGAAGAAACATAACACCATGTTTAGACAAGGGCCAGCTCAGGCGATGGAGCGAGCGACGGGGAGTAGATGAGTGAGAAAGCGATGCACGTCCGCGAGTGAGTGGAGTGGAGTGGAGTGGAGTGGAGTGGAGTGGAGTGGAGTGGAGTGGAGTGGAGTGGAGTGGAGTGGAGTGGAGTGGAGTGGAGTGGAGTGGAGTGGAGTGGAGTGGCGTGGCGTGGCGTGGCGTGGCGTGGCGTGGCGGGGCGGGGCGCGGGGTGGGGTGGGGTGGGGTGGGGTGGGGTGGGGTGGCGTGGGGCGGCGTGGAGTGGACTTGCGTTGCGTTGCGTTGCGTTGCGTGGAGTCGAGTCGAGTCGAGTCGAGTCGAGTCGAGTGAGTCAGTGAGTGAGTGAGTGAGTGAGTGAGTGAGTGAGTGAGTGCGTGCGTGCGTGCGTGAGTGAGTGAGTGAGTGAGTGAGTGAGTGAGTGAGGGGGCGGGCGGGCGGGCGGGCGGGCGGGCGAGCGAGCGAGCGAGCGAGTGACCGAGTGAGTGCGTGTGAGCGCGAGGGTGCTAGGTGCGTGGGTGTAGTGTGTAATTAGGTGTCGTGTGTGTGTGTGCGGGTGTGTGAGTGGGTGAGGGAGTGAGTGAGTGAGCGAGCGAGCGAGGGACGAGTGAGTCCAACCAGTATAGAAACGACTCAAAACAAGTGTGAGTGAGATGAGTGTGAGTGACAGGGTGAATGAAAGTGAGCGAGGTGACTGAGACTGTGAGTCAGTAAATGAGGGAGTGAGTGAGAGTGAGAGTAGAGAGCATGAGTGAGAGCGAGTGAGAGTGAGCGTGAGTACGTTAGTGGGTGACTGCCACGAAATCCAGCACTCACAAGTCCAAAGTGCTGCACCTGCCAGGAAATGAGCACCGACATGTCCAAAGCGCCACAAAGCGAGGGGGCCCATACGAGCGCGCGCGACAACATCCAGTCCCTTTAGCGACCTCTCAAATGCTGCCTCTGCCACGAAATCCAGCGCTCACATGTCCAAAGTGCTGCACCTGCCACGAAACCAGGGGGCCCACACGGGCGCACGACAACATCCACTCCCTTTAAAGACCTCGCAAATGCTGCCCCTGCCACGCAATCCACTGCCGCAAATCGGCACTTACATGTCCAAAGTGCTGCGCCTGCCACGAAAGCAGGGGGCCCACACGAACGCGTGAGCGAGCGGGAGAAGGCGGGCGGGAGGAGGAGGAGGAGGAGGAGCAGGAGAGGCGGACGCACGCGGATGCACTCGGCGCGCGGACGACGAGCGGTAACAGCAAGAACCCCAAAGATGTGGGGAAAATAGGATCAGAAACAAGACCCGTTGCTAACTCTACCAATTAAAATTCCCTTCGCAGTCTTAAGGGTTCCTTTTTCCAAAACCGAAACAAACGGCTAGCCAGAATCAGCCAATTCATTATTGCACTTTGTGTAACAAATCAAAATTTGACAAGCTCGGAAATAAAGAAAAGCACCAAGGGCATATCATGTTATTGCCCACTAGGGGGGGGTTGGTAGGGGGACTGGCCTTGAAGGGGGGGTACAGTTTATGCGCTTTATTGCGTCGGCCTGCGCATCTTAAAAGTGCTGAGGCTTGGAGCCCAAAAGCACAGACAGTACACGATTTGGGCTGGTATCCCTTTACGTGCCCCAAAAACTGATTCAATCACATGTCCTGCCAGGGATTCAGCTGAGACTCCTCCTTGCTACCAGCAGGCTCATCCCTGACTTCTTCTTGTCGCGGAAGTGCCTTCTCTTCAAACTCGGTCAGCTCAAAGCCGTCATAAAGGTACTCGTCGTGAGCACCTCGTGCCGCGAGGCGGGCGCGGGAAATGCAAGGAGGCCTTCTTGCAAGCAGGTGAGGGGTGCGAAAACTTACCTCCGGCATCCTCCGGCGTCTTCCAAGTCATACAAGTAGGAAGCGCTGCAAAATGCCGCTGTCAGGGGGAATTCACGCAAGCCTCGCTTGCAAACTGCGAAAGGGAGGCACCAGCACAAGGCTTGACAAAGTTGTTCGTGAAAACATGCTAGTCCTGCCCCAATAAGCTGGGATTGGCCTGATTTGTGGATGATAGACTTGGGCTGCCTGCCACTCTACACTTCACCCAGGGAACAATCTGATGACCCCTGCGTTCGAGTGTACCACCTCTCCCTCTGCATGCAAAGCCGCAACCTGCGTATGCCTTCCCAAAGGCTGGTATCACGGATGCCCCGCATAGACCAAAAACCAAAAAAAACATTTCCACATGTTCAATCATGTCCCTCTCCCTACTAAATTAGCTTGCGGCCAAACAAACCGCCGCTCAGATCGGCCTCCACGCCTTCGGCTCCTATCTGCAGCTATGCCCTGCCAAAGGCACAATCCGTGTCCTCGCCGGCATCCACGAACAGCTCGATGCTGTCCCGGACGACCGCGAGGTCGCTGATCTCTACAGCGTCATTGTTGACCTCACTGGAAACAAAGTGTTCTTGAAATGAAGGCGCCAACGTAGTTGAGATCGACTTCCAGCAAAACGCTGTCTTTAGACTGGTTGCCCTTGTCGTGTTGCATGATCCTAGGCGAGCGCATGCACCATTTCCTATCGGAGGGGACATGCAAGCTCTTGCCATGCACATCGAGCTTCTTTAAATATGGCGTATGTCGCGCATGTAGTATGTGTATGGTATGGCATGCTATGGAATGGAAGGGTAGGGTGTGTCATTGAATCTATAAATCAAAACAAGTAAATCTAAACAACATAAACCCATGCATCGTCGAGTCACTCATACATACCTGACCCTCTAGCTCTTGCACTACAACATGCAGGGACCAAGAGAATTAACGTTTGTTTCTGAATGCGCTTTCGGGGCAGCTCCTATGGAGAACGACCTCACAACCCGATCATTCCATGATGGTGTCCCCATAGTGTTCCCCAGCACAAGAACGGCACAGTGTCGGAAACTCAGGAAACTCCGATGGTTGACAACCAAGCCTAGATGCAAAATTGGAAGGGGTGCAGGTTGCTTTCGTCCAGCCTAGGATGTATGCCGAGCTGCGGCACGCAGAAGCTGCTCAAGCTTCTTGATGTGCCATCGAGTTCTCTCCTGCGCGATCTCTAGCTTTTGCAAGCGAGCCTTGTCGTCATTGCCCAGAGACTTCCTGAGCGACACTTCGAAGTTTCGAGCTGCGCCGCTGCATGGAAACCAGAATCGCCGGTGAGGTTTGTTCAGATGAGGCAGCCATCGGCCATGTAGCAACTAACCAGGTGTTGCCTTTCAGCGCCCAACGCATCAAACAAACTTATGCTTAGCCCTTCCCCTCCCCCCCTTATTATAAACGCGGGGTTGCACCCTCATAGGCACAATCCCCTCCCAAAAAAAAACACAGAAAACAAAAACAAGTATTATTTGGGGCGGGGGGAGGGCGGTTGTGGGAGTGAAGACCTGGGTGCTTTCGAAATGCAGGGAGGTTGACCGAGAAGGGAAAACACCTTTGATCCAGCATGCATCGTTTTCTTGGTACTTAGGCAATGCAGGCATGGACACCTTTTCGGAGTTTGGGTCCCTAATGCAACTGGAGTTGGATGGCGGAACAGTTTGCTAGCTTAGAGTTGTTTCAGCATTGGTCAACTCAGATTCAGTGTTCAGGGACTTCAGCTTCTGGAAAAGCATATTGTTTATTGGGGGCGCCTTTATCTTAGTGGGCATTTTATGGCAACGTCGCCTTTCATGCCCCACATCGACATGCTTTTATGCCCCACATCCACATGCTCGCAAACCAAGCAAGCAACGCATATCAGCCAACAGAGCTGACTGACAAAGGATGCGCGGGAAACTCATTTCCCCGGAGCATGCTTTTAACAAGACCCCAGAACGTGCCGACATCTGTTAATTTATCATTACCCAGCGGCGTGAGAGCCTTGAGCCAAGGGAGCGTGTCTCTTCCTGCTGCAGACAAAGGGGCAGCACACTTGCCATTTCAAATACATGTCTTGTTGCCGAATGACGTCGTTCGTTTCACTTGTCCTTCATTCGGCCACCTTTCCGATAATTACACAATATTACACACGCCAACCAGCGTGCGAGGGGTCTCTGGTTCCGAGCTGCTTGCCCTTCAGCATCTGGTAATCCGCCTCGAATTGATCCAGCGAGTCTTTCAGCGCCTGACGGAAGAAGCTGGACTCGCTTGGTGAGTGCACATCTGCCCCAGGACCAAGAGCAGAGCTCCGGATACCACACAGCTACCCGAAGGGTTCTAAGATGGTGGTTCTATCCAAAGGCCGCGAGGTGAAACATGTGGTGGTTTCTTGGCACCTTTCGTATGGAAAGGTGGATGCGCGCACGTAAGAACACCATCCGGGCTGGCAGCGAACCAATTTTGGATCTCAGAAACAAGAGCTACAAGCATCCGCGCACGGGCCCCTACCATCTCCTCAGGCGACAAAATGCCTTTGTGTATGCCTGCAGCTCAGCCTGGCCTGGATGTTCTGAGCCAACCAGTCCTGGTACCTTGGTTGCGCAGGAAGGCTGAGCTGCCTCGAACATCGTCCAGGAACATGAACGATGCACTATGCATGAAACATCCTAAAGCACTGATCTGTGTATTATTCCTGCGGCTGGACATGCCCTTCCGTCCCTGAACCCGAATTTGCGGTCCGGCAAAGTGAGCATTCTTACAAAAGGCATTTACGTCGCCACGATTCCTTGGGGTGGTGGGACCCCTTGACTTTTCTGAAAGCGAACCCATTTAGAGAGGAAGTCAAGAAGCAATATACCGGCTGGAGGAGTCGCTGTATTCACCGAATCCTATATGATTTTACGTCGGCAGCTGCGAAATTACCAATGGTGATACCACGCCCACACTGGCCAAATCCCTGCTTGTCCTTGAATAAGGGCCACATTGTGACAAATGGAAGCTGAAGCATTGAACACACCCAAATTGTCAGAGCATATTGCTTACCTGCTAAGATCAGCTTGGCTTCTTCTGCTTCTCAGCCTCCTCTAAGTCAAGCTCATCCATCTTCGCCAGACCTGCACCGGAGAACGCTTTGGTCTTGAACTCCCGCTCGAAGTCTTTGAATCTGGACCTGAGTTGGCCACGCCAGAGTTAGAAACTAAGCCAAGTCCAACATGATCTAATGGAGCGGCTTCCCTGGCCATGGGCGTCATGGGCTTCATGGAGCAGTGCGTAAAGCTCGAGAAACAACAAGCCGTACTGTGCAAACCAGCAGCAAGTGCCATTGCACGCAGGCAACCACACACACTCCTGTGCACATTGTCCCGTACATAGCGCGAGCCATGCGTTACATGTGACTGCTACACTTTGCTGGTTAGAAATCCACAGCGTATCGTAAGAATCAACATGCTTCGAGTCCCTTCACTGAAGAGGAACCCTGGATTCCAGTCAAACACGCAATCCAAAGCTTGCTCAGGCTCAGACACTCTGGCTACAAGCACTGAAAGCTCCCTCCGCCCAATCTCCCCAGAAAAACCCTCGCCAATCATGACCGAGAGACATGTCGATCTCAATAAGCTTTCTGCCTTCTTCGAGCTTGTCTTTGAGATTGCTGGGAACTGCACTGGATCCCAGCCAATCCCTCATCTGAGATCTGAGTCTCTGCTGCTTGTTGATGCACTTTTTGAGCTCCTAGCACGGTGCCAAAAATAGTGCGACCAACCTGCTTTGCCAAAATCAACCACTATAGAAATATAAATAAATATGTATATGGTAGCATCACTTTATTGTCTTCTTGCCTTGCTCATTGCATTTGTCTTTGTGCAGTTCATCGTAAGCTATCAATTCACTCGGCGTTATCAACTCAAATGGTTAAACACATTTGCTTCTCTGCAGATGGACCGTAGCCCAACACAGCCAGCAGGAAGGCTTCGGTCAAACGTCAAGGGGCGTGGCCGCAGCCATCGACAAACCCCGCGCCTTCATTGAAGATCAGACGCGTTGCATCTGGATGCTAAACACCACCCCAGGGGCCACCATGCAGAGACGAGCAACACACAGGTGCAGAGCGCTCGCAGGAACCAAGGGAAGAGGACAGCAGGAAAACCCGAGAGGGACAGTCAGACATATGTCCTAGAGTCAATTTGAGTTCTTTCTCAATTGCATCTATGATTGTCCAAATCCTCTCTTCATGTCATAATTTGGACGTGGTGCAACCGTTTTAAACGCCTCCCCATTTGCGTTCAACGTAGGGATCGCAATTGGAATTGCAAAGGTGTCGTTCAATGGAGTCGATCTTTTCTTGCACATCGGGAATCCATCGGACATTGGGAAATCCAGCAGGCAGTGGCCAGAGAAAGCCTGGGACCAACAGCACAAACCAAGAAACAAACGCCAAATTGAAGGAGGCAAGAAGCAAAAGGCAAGAGCTACCAGGAGGCGTCGTCAACGACGCCTGCAATCTGGCTGGCTCACAAGAGGCTGGCAAATAACTCAAATCCAAAAAACAAAGTTTCTGCAAGGGCTCAATCGCCCACAGGGCTTTTGGGAACCAAGCTGCCTGGTCAAAGTAGACGAAACGTTTTAGCGCATGCAGCAACTAAGAATTCCCAGTTGCCAATGGCCTAAAAAACATCAACAAAAGTGACAGAACATAGCCCCTCCACGAGCAGCAACGCAGAAAAGCAATGCTCACGCAGGCTCCTCGCCCAATCTTTCCTTCTGCGGGCCCTGTGCGTTGGCCATCTGATCCCACAACTCCTCGAACTCTTCGGTCCCCTCATGACCTGGCCATGCCCCCGCTTCTGCACGCGGGATTCTTCACAGGCCAAACAACGCGAAAGCCACAAAGTTTCATGTTCTTTTTGGTCCAGAAACGACAGCAAACCGCACCCGACTCAGGGGAAGTGGGACCATGAAAAGCATGCGCCATTCTTGCATAAACGGCGCTAAGGGCAAACGTGCCCAGCAGCCAGAGCAGCATGCTACTTCACACAAGTCAGGTAGGACTCTCGCCTAAGGGATGTAAATCATTGCAGCGACTAGCACTGCTCTTGCTCGAGAGGCCACGGGAGGCCTTACTTCACAGCCTTGTGTGGATTTAAAGTCGCCTCCTCCCAATGACACCAATGACACATTTCTCCAAGGGCGATGTATCTCACGTGCCTTTCTTCAGGACCACCTCGATGTCCTTTTGCAGTTTCCGCGCTGCCGCTGCCGCCATGACAGGGCAAAGGCGAAAAGTTGCACGAGTCAAAGTCACAGGAATGGCTGAGCCAAGACGATCTTGCAGACGGAGGCTTGGGATTCGCAAGCAGTCAGGGATGCACCCCGAGCCTTGAAGCTCAAAAAGATTGTTCGCATATTTCAACAGGGATTTCCAAACACAAATGCGTTGCTCATTCAGCGACGAAGGGTCCCGTCAGCCGGCATTGCCCCCTTGCGGCATTGCCCAGGTTTGACCTTAGAATTGTATGGCCGTGTCGGGCAAAATGCGACTGGAATCTGAATGGCTTGAAAGCAACGCATCGCTGCCCACCCGCTTGGCAAACATACGAGGCCGCCATTTCGAGTTTCACAAAGGCCCTGCCTCCTCTCCCACAAGCTTCGAAGGCCCAAAGGTTGGGCCCAAACAAACGTAGCCTGGGCATGTGCCAAGTCCAGGAGAGGCAACCGGGACAAGCGCGATGTCTCGACAGCCATGTGTTTTCATTTTGTTCCTAGGGCCACCCAATCGAAAGGACCGGAGTGGACAGCTTTCTTAGGCAACGGCACTTTGCTAGCGACAACCAGAGTGGAGAGCTTAAAAAAAGGAACTGAGGGCCGAAAGCTGTTTCTGAACCCATCCATCTTCCCTCGCTTCACGGACTCCAAGGGGCGAATGCCGGTGACCTCCTTGGACGGGCAGGCGTGCACACTTGGAAGAAACACGCAAACCACAAAACGACGCCAACTATTGAACAAAACAAGGGGAACAAGGGTTGTGAATGCCATTGATTGAGAGCAGGATGTGCATGAAATTCAAGTCGCTGGAAGTCTGCGCTATTTTGCCACAACATCAAAATGGTGACAGGGAGATTTAAGCGCTCTTGCAATTGGCAGCAAACACACGTGCAACTTGCACCCGCAAGCTAAACGGGTGGTGACACGCAATTGATGCCGTACCGCCCTCATCCCACCCCAAGCCACGGAGTCCGCTCGCGACAAAGCGCCCGTTAATCACCCTCCCATTAACATGGAACCTGACAGGGGGGTCCTGGAAGACAATTCCCATTTAAACGGAGCTGTCAGGTTCCATGTGAAGTGGCGGGTACAAGGCCTACAAAGCCTTCTTTTCTGTTCTTTTTTGGCTCTTCTGCGCGCAGCAGTGGGGGCATGTTGCCCTTCGACGCCTGCAGGAGCCTGTGGTCCAGAGTCCAGCAGTGCGAATTTCAGTAAAGCTATCTGAAAACCATCAGCTTGATTGGAGAGGCTACTTTCAAACCCCAGCATGAATGGCATCGGATAGGTTCCATTTCCAGTCCATCTGGCAAGCGTTTGGAGGCCGCGGCTCTAACTCGCAATGGCACAAATCCGCTTCAGGGGTCCAAGAGTTCATCTGTTCTCATGTGCAACTGTCACTCAGCCTTGCTCCCTCTGTGGTTTGGACAGTTTGGACAACTCGGATCCCAAGTGGCCTCTCCATCTAGCACCTCAATGGGCTGTGGTGTCCGTGCTCCTTCAAAGTCTGCGGTTGGCGTGCGCTCGCTCAAAGCCTGCTCCACAAACTTGCATGCTCAAACAACGCAGCACAAATCTCAATGGAACATGGAGGCAAACTGGAATGTCTCAAAGAGGGGATGCTTCCCATTGCAGGAGTTCCTCTAGGTCTGATTTCATCCAGGGTCGGCCCCTGTTGAAGTCAGCTCTGGTTTCCTCAGAGCAGGTGGCGCCCGGACAATGGCCGGGAGGGTGGCGGCGAAACCCGGGCACGGGAGGCAGCACGAGAGGCAGCGCGAGAGGCAGCGTGGGAAGAGGCAGCTCGTGAGCGGCTGCGGGAGGTTGAGCGGGAGAAGTCCTGCAAGTCCTGCGCTGCCAAAGCGGACTTGGCAACTGAGTCTGCCTATTGGCCAGAGCCCTGATTTGAGCTACAGTATTCCGGCAACAAACTGAACAACGCCTGATGGAAAATAACACGTAGTGGTGGCATCGTCATGGTCCCAAAGGTGGACATCATTGCCGCTCCATCTGGAAAGAGGTTGGCATTTGCTTGCAACACATACTTCCTTCCGTCGTGATTGCAATGACCAAGGTGTCCGAGGATTACGCGCTTGGAAAAATAAGGTAGGCAGCATATCGCTGCTTCAGCTTTGCACATGTCTAAAACTGCATTGTAGTCGTCAGCTCGAAGCAACGCATCTTTGCAACAGAAATCGTGCAACCGGCCGTTTGGACAAGATGATCGACAAGCAAGGTTCTCGTTGTGAGCCCATCCTTATGGGCTGGTTTGTCAAAGACTATGCAGGACAAGGCCAAGCCGACCGTTCAAAACCATTCCCCCGCCTTGATTTGTAAGAATCCTCCCCCAATTACTCAGATTTCCCCTCTAACCAACAAGCCTCTCTTAACAGTCAGCAGTAATTAACATATCTTGGAGAAAGCAAAACTCAGTTGCCCAAAGAACCTGGAACTAAAAGGTTAACCTTTTGGGGCCATGATGGGCCATGACTATGGACCAAACTGGGAAAAACAAAAGGTCAGTTCAGGTCGATTCGCTTTGAACAACTGAGAAAAGGGAAACCTTCGAGTCCTTTTGAGAAAATCCCTGCCACACCTCGTCGCTGCTGCTGCTCCGGTGGCTAGGAGGCCGCATTCCAACGATGGCCACCAGTGTGCTGGCACCATCGTGGTCATCGCCTGCCAACTGGCCATGTGTGCTTTTTGGAGGGTACGTGGCAATCCTTTTCAGGCTAAGAAAGGGAGCTAAAAAGACTTGAGACCAGGGTGGACCGAAAGCTTGCAGAGTTTGCCAAAAGTGGCAAAGCAATCCAGCAATCCAGCCCGAAGCTAAATCCATATCGTCCGCTTTTAAAATGTGCAAATGCTCCCGTGGGCTACGCTCTAATGGGGAAACGGTACCGCCAGGCCCATGTTTTGGCCCATAATCTTGTCACTCACTCCCCCCTCACCCCCGCAGAGATCTCAAGAAGCAAAGCCTCTTCGAGGCCAGCTTTCGGGATACACCGTCATGCTGGGGGTCTAAATCCATGTTTGTTTGCCAAACGGATATCGGAGACAAATGCCATTGAAATTGGGTTGGCTTTTGTACGGAGGCAACGCTTTACTTCTGACACATTCCAAAACACCTCATCCTTCACTTCATGAATCAAGCAAAGACAGCGCGACAAAAAATAAACCACGCAAACATGTGTATATGTACAAATACACATGGTACATTCTATATCAATGCAGAACTATCCACATATGTATGTATATATGTATCTAGGGATCGTTGAGCAAGAGACTCCTTGTAGCCCCTTTCAAGTAATTGATGCGTGGTCACCTGTCAGGCTCCAATTCATTGGATAGGTTGAACATGTTGGGGTGTCGCCGCTGTTCCTCTTTGCACATCACCTCACAGCACATGCGCTCAAACGGGGGGAATACAGGGATTTGGGGTCACCCCAAGTCTCAGGCCTGAACGAAAGCCAACTTTGACTTTGACCAGCTGGAAAAAGGGCCGAGATTCTGCAACGCGCAAACCACCATTTGCAGGTTGTCTAATGATAGTGCCGCTTTTCGCAGTTGCTTTGCCAGCTCCAAACTGACACCTGCGTCTGGATTTCAAACCGCCAGTGGTGTCCAAACCTGTCACGTGCCCGCCTCTCCCTCACCGTCTGCTTGCGTTTTGAGGGCGCCCTTTTGGTTGGATAGGAAGACCAACAAGGAGACCCAGCAGGGATCCTTACATTATACACCTGAACATTGCCTTGTAAATGATGGTTTCCCTTTATTTTGGTGGAAAAAGCGTATCTAGGAGCCTGCCCAGTTTGGGGGCCCTACGAAGCGATGACGCCCCGAGGGCCTTGCTGTAGCTTCCGCGCCGCCTCCGCCACGGAGACGGCCATGCTCTTCCGCAGGCGCTTGGCGAGGCCCATGGACCCGTAGCCGTAGGACTGGCGGTTGAGGATTCGGCAAGCGGCAAGCTGGAGTCAGGTTGGAAAAAGCGAAGCGTCCGAACAAGGGGCGCCCCATTGCGCTCTAACTCCGGACAAGTAAAGTGATAGGGTTGCAGCTGCGAGGCGAAGCCCTTCAATGTAACCTGTAAACACCAGTGCGAACAAAAAGCGTGCTTTGAGCTGACGTTGAGGACTTGCTCTTATGAGAAAATCCACCCGCCGAGCTGCCTTTAAGCAACGTTGTGTCGCTAAACATGTAGTGTATGTCTACCAACTCCCTTATTTGATGCGATCCTGCTCAGCACAGAAGTAGCTGAGGTGTCAGATGCCTATTGCCTGGCAAACTCAAGTCAGGTAGTGTCGCATGACAGCGGCCTGCGCGAGTGGCACATAGTGTTTGTGCCGGAACAGCAGCTGGCTGTTCTTCCTCTCACGCACGTTGTCCTCGCAATAATCCTCGGCAGCGCATTCAATAGCCGCCCTGTCAAACAGTAATGTCATCATTGTCATCCTGAGTTCCAAATCAATGGGCCACCACTGCACGGCCTTCTTGGCAAGAATGCACAGGCTTTGTAGCCTTCAGAACCCATGCAGGTAGCTAACCTTGCACAAAGCAGCCCAGGTCATGCGTCAGCATCCCCCCCCCTCGCTCCAGCAAGCCGCCTGCCCCAGCTCTAAGATCAGGGTGAGGGAGCGCTGACCCAGCCCTGCGATGGCCGTGACCATGACCTCCTCTAAGCGAATCTCTCCTGACGCAAAAGCAAGCTCTGCAAACGCTGATGGAATGCTCACTTGCTGCACGTACAGCTGTCGCAGAAGGGACAGCTTGGCCATGAAAAGCAAGGACGAGTCAACTAGCAAGGCAGCTTGTTTGCTTGCGATTGCTTGCTTGCTCATTCGTCGCTTCGTTTGTTTGTCTTTCTGTGTTACGTTGCTTCCTTGCTTCCTTGTCGAGCTTCCGCCTGAGGATCTGAGTTTTCCTCTACTTCAAAATGCCCGCAGGGTTGCAGGGAATTTTTCCCTGTAGGGCTTCATGCGGCTGCACCCCGCCGTGCCGTGCCGGGCCTTCCACCTCCATTCGCAGCAGGCGCCGCCGCGCGCGGGTGAGGCGCAGCAGCTGATCCCAGTGGCCCTGGGACAGCAACGGCAGCACTCGGAACAAGTCCTCGGGTACAGAGAGGCCAGCTCTGGGCTTGGCAGACGCTTCATTCATCATGTGGTTCCAAAAACCCGGCAGTTCCTCGCAGGTTCTCAGTGAGCTGCCATCCTGATGACGCGGATGTTACACAAAACTCAATGGTTCTAAGTTGGTCGCCCTAGCAGATTCGGCAAGTTCGTGAAATAGGCCTCCACTATGCCAGCTGCCTGGGTTTCATCCCGCTTCCGTTGCACAAGCTAGGCTTTGCCTTCTACCCGGTTAAGACACGCTGGTGAAATTCAATTTATGATTTTCCAGAATTGGGCGCGTGAAAAGAAACTCAGGGTCAAGACAAGTTCAGCCCGACGAAGTTCAGTGGAGATGCTCAGCGGCGGCTCCATCAGCAAAGGATGAAGTAGGTTCACATCACATGCGCGCGCGCATGCAAACTCTCACACACACAAACAAGCAAAAGACATCAAGAGTCAAAGGAAAAAGACAAAGAAGGCGATACTGCAGGTAAGCGGAGTTGACACACTCTGTGCTTGACTAGGCACGGCAATCCAATCGTTTTAAGGTTCGTGTTCCAGCACGGTCGTCCCCCTCTCACACACCCAACCTGCCCCTCATACATGCACGCACATGTACAAGCACGCCCGCAAGCGCCCTTGCACAACGGCACAAATAATGAAGCGATCAAGAAAGCGAAGACGACCAACCAATCAGCCAGCAAGCAAGCAACCGACAAACTAAGTAGCCAACCCAACCAACAAAAAACAAACAAACAATCAACTATACAGTAACAAACTAAACTGAATTAAGACAACCAGTGCTGAACAAAACTAAACAACCACAACACACAAACACCAACAAACACAAACACCCCACACACACACACAAACACGAGCAAGCAGGCTGCATCAAACAGAACGCAAGCAAGCAAGAAGCAACCAACCAACCAAGCATGTGCCGCAGTCTCCTGCATCCTGGCTGAACACCTCAGGCCTTTGCGGGAAAGCGGCCACAGCAGTGATTGCCTGCTCGTCCAACGGCAGCGACTTCAACTTGGATGTCCTGAATAATCTGAGGGATGCAAGAAAGTTGCCAGGCATGCAGTCCCTGTGCCGCAGAAGGACCCTCTCAGCCCAACGGCAGCTTGTAATTAAATAAGTATAGACTCCAGCCGTCCAGTGTCTATTGGTCACAACCTGCTGGAGATTATTCTTAGAATATCAGCGTTCGCGCCAATTTTGACCACTATACTGACCACACACTGACCCACATGTTCTATAACCCATCTATGGCAGCATCCACTCTGGCACGAGGCATGCTCCTTCTGGCCAGCCCCACTGCGCAGCGGAAGGCAGCCGCTTCCTCCTGCTGTTCGTTGCAGCCGATGGGCGCCAGCTCCAATGCCTTGCCAAGGCCTCGGCAAGAGTTCAGTCTTGGCAAGGGCCACAGGCAAAACATCCGTGACAGCAAGTTTGCTTGTGCTTCGAGATTGAAATCCATTGGAACTTGAGTTGAACACAGGGAGCCTACAAATTTACCGGTCGGCCATGCGCGGCCTTTGGCTGTGAAAAACTAATCCTGAAAAGCCGAGTGGGCTCGAGCTGGGTGTCGCTGATGACTCCACAAACCCCATTGAATCAACCTTCAAGGGGCGAACCGCATCAAGATCCAAGAAGCCACTCCCAAACGCATTGCAGGGCTAAAAGGTCAGATTGAAGAGTTTGACATTGGGAACGGGTGGTTCTTTGACGAGTACACTTGAAGTCAACGGGCAACAGCCCATCCCTGAAGATGGCCTAACTAGAAAGCAGCGATTGGAACTCTGGAAATGCTTCCCATGAGATGTCTTGAGAGAGGCCCCATCTCATGTTGAAAGGGCCTGGTCGTTTTCACAGGTTGACGAATTGCGCGCAAACATCCCCTTTCACAATTCCCAATCACGCTGGCGAAGCTCAAGGCGGCCGGCCAGGGTTAGTCAAGGGACGTGTTGAAACGGGTTCTAACAAGGGGGCAGCTGGCACCAACGGACCATCATTTGGAGCATCCGACAGAAAGCCGTTACCCATGCGGCTGGAAGAAGTCAGCGAACCGTTGTAGCCTTCCCTGGTATCGGGGGGTTGGTATGCTTTTTTCCCGCCGCTGTTCAGTTCTCTGGCGCTTGTCCAGCCCGAGCTGGAAAATACCAGTGCAGTAATATCAGCCCAGAACCCCAGAACCTCCGCCCCCCCCCTGGAAAAAGAAACGATGGAACAAAAGCCTCCCTGAGAAAGTTTGGTCCACCTCCAAACCGCCAACAAATATCCCTTGGGAATCCTTCGCGGTTCCTTTAAATCCTTTCCCAAGTCTAGTGCTTAAGCACTGGCCAATTCTGAAGCAATGCCCCATTCTGAAGCAGCATTGACCAGTTCTACAAAGCAATACTGCCAATACTGAATATATGCCAGCAGTATTGGCCAATACTAAGATGATGGTGTGGAGGACTTTCGGTGCGGGGGCTGAAATCTGACCTGTTCACAATGGCTGACTTGTCAGCCGGGCTTCTCAATCCGAGGTCATCATTTCGCAAAGCATGTTTGGGCGGCTCCAGCGCGAAGTCGCAACTTTGCGGCACACATGTATTCCATTGCAACTTGCGGTGCTAGTGCAATACGCAGAGTACACTTTGGCAGCTCCAGATTTGCAACTTTTCGGTGCAAGCGTAGTACACAAAGTACACTCACGCGGCTCCAAGGCAACTGGCCCTCGGTTTGGCGATCGGCTCAGGCCCTGCAAATTGTGATTCCGGAATCTTGCTTTGAGGCTTCAAACAACCAAGACCGGATGTCATGGCTTCTACGGGTATCGCATGGTATCGGGGTTGTTCCTCCCTCCTGTGGATGGACAAATTCCTGCACCACTTTAAAACAATGAAAAACCATTGTGTGGTGGTATTTACAGGGAAATCATCATTCTAGGGTTTCCTAGGTGGTGCGAAATAGATTTTGTCCATCCACAGTATCATTTTGCTGTTCCCGACCAGCACAAGCTCAGAGCACTTGCAGACCCAGCTGCGCCGCGCAGCCGCCAGGCCCTCTGCATACCGCAGGGTTAACAGGAAGGTGCGGCGGCCAACCTGCAGGGGTGCCACGGTGCGGTGGAACTTCGTGATGTCAGCTCTGCAAAAGCTGGCCCAAACCATCAACTTCTGTACATAAATCTGGCCAAAACCAAAAGGAAAACAGTGAACCTCTGGCACTCTTCTGAGGTGTTTCTTTCTGATAATATCAATCTGAAATCCAAGAGCCCCGAAGCTGTGCCAATAGCCTGGGAGAACAAAGTCCCAGCCTGACTGGTCTCCCGGCTGCCGATGCTGTGCACAAGCATCATGGCGAAGAACCTGCGCGCCTGGGCATGGCCAAGACACCAGCTAGCATTCACTGGCCCAACAGCTGATGCCTCACACCACCCAAAAGGCAAATAGGGTTTCAAACCTTATCCGCTTCAAACAAACACAAGGAACCCTATTGGACTGAATCCCTTCCGCCTCTGCCAGAGTGCCGCCCACAGAGCTCAGCAAATCTGCCAGATCTGCCTCTTCCAGGTACCTCAAGCGAAGCGGACGAAGCACTGTCCTCACGGTGCTATGGATATTTGTACGAAACATAAACATAACAAAACATAGAGTACACCAAAGCACCGCGTCTGGATGAGTTGAAAAGCTTCGAAACACGCATTTGGAAGAAACCAGCCTGTGAAGCAGGAAATCCTACGGTCTCCCTTTGTAGTCTTTTCAGGTATGTCAGGCAGGCTCAAGGCTCACGGAACCGGGCTTGACTGAGCCCCGCCTCTTGCCAACATGCTCAAAGGCTTTGGACAGCGAGCCGAAGCGCATCTGAAGACGGATTCCTTGCGCGTCGGCAAGCCCGGAGGGGATCAAGCAAGGCATCGCATGCAAGTGGCAAAACGGAACCATCCGACCATCGTGAAGCTGCAAACAATAACGCACTCACGCGACCTCAAAACGTCATCCACCCTCCAATCAATGCCAAGCAGCTCAAAGACACAAAGTCCCGCATAGGTGCGGCATAGGCCATGGCCCTTGCAAAGGTGGCCTTGCCCATAGCCTGGAACGCACACACGTGGCAGCTGTCTTGGTCCAGCGTGCAATGACGTGCCTACCCCATGACTGCGCATCCCTCCTCTAATGTTGAGGCACTGAATGGATCAAGCCACCTCAAATAGTGTGAATCGCAAATGCTGCAAACACAACTTCAACAACTCCCGTTACACCAACATCCACATGACCAAAGCCCTGCGTCACCTGCAAAAGGAACAAGCAACACAACGCCCCGCTCCTCAGCATCTGAAAGGTCCAGCTGATGGCAAAGCTGTTGCCAAACCGTCCTGACAAGCTGATGCCATCCGAAACCAAAAAGGCCTGCCAACAAAATGCACCTGTCTCAGTGTTGTTCATTCAGGCTGGTACTAACAAAAATGGCCATTGTCTTTCGCACAAGTGGTTTCTACGGTCCTGCAGTGCTCTGCCTCGAAACTGATGTGCGCAGCCAGCCGGCAAAAATTCTGGTAGTCCATGGGAACGATGGGCGAGGGGATGGTGTGCACAAAGGCCTCGCAGACTCCGATGGACTCAGTGCAACTTTGTGTTGCGAGAAGTGACTTTGTGGCAAAAGCAAGGGGAAGGAAAGCTACTGCCCCCTGCATGCTCCAGCTTCTGCTTTTTTTGTTTCCCCTCCCCCCCCACCCCCTCCCCACAACAGAAACAACAGGTCGGCGTACTGTCAAAAAAGACCTGCCAATGCGCACATGGTAATTTTCCAATAGTGTCTCACCAAAATGGGGGCACAATCTCAGAGGTCAGGTGTGAAGGCAACATGCCTGGAACGACATCATTCAATCAAGGATTCAGGCGCGTCATGGGCATTTCTCAGGCTTTGTATTGCTTGGGCAGTTGGTACGGCTCCCTTCGGTGGCAATCCTTGCACTCATCATGGGCTTCCAGCCCACGAATCTCCAAAAAGCAGCTTGCAAAGCAGCTTCCTAACTCAGACTACTGCAGTTAGCACTTCGCATCCAAGCCAAAACCGCACAACTCTAATATTGTGATGAATTACAATTTCGCTTTTAAACGTCAACACATTGTACAGTGAACATTTCTCATGCAATGTGCTGCATCTTCCACCAATCTCATGCAAAGGCCTCTTCAACACAAACATTCCATTCACATCAGGAACACATCATAAGAAAACAAAGATGGGTTCTTTCTCCGCACTTCCCACAGGCCTGTCAACCCGAAGTGATGGCTCCTCCTTGCGATGCCTTGATTGAGAGTGGCACAGTGACTTGCCATAGTTGCACAATTCAAGTGCGATCACCTCATCACAACCATAATATTGTTGGTTCACAATTGTCAAACAATCTCACGACTGTTCAGTCCTATAGCTGACTTATCATATTCAGACCCAACAAATCTTGGCTTCAAACGGGTCCGGGGCTTTGGGACACGGAAGCCGGCCCACGCCTCCCAAAAGCCCGCGGCACCTGCCTCCGCCGCACCGGCGAAGCGGCGCAGCAGTCTGCGCCGGAAGCGGCGCAGCTGGCGGATGGGAGGCGCGTCCCCCGCCTTTTGGCCGAGATCCGCGAAATGGAGACAAAAGGCGACGCGTGTGCGGAGGTTTGGAGGTTTGGAGGTTACGGCAGGGGTTTCCACTCCACAAGAACTAGGGGTTCAAAGTTCAAGCCCCAAAGCGGAACAAATTGGTGGAAAAACCTCGGCAACCCCCAAGCTGGTAGTGGCAAGCTGGAGTCCTATTTCTGTGAGGCGAATACCCATGCCGTCGTGGCATGCATTTAAAAACCCCTCTCAGGCAAATGCTGTTGCCTACCTCCGGCAGCCCAAATGTTTGGCGCCCAGCTCAGCTACCGGCTTTTGCAGATCAAAACAAAGGAATGGGGTGGCTGGCAAAAGCCTAGTATGAAACACACGCCCATGATGTTTGCCTTGCGGCAGTGCATTCTCTTTGAACCCGGGTCCAGCAATGCGCGTTCTGTATATGGGGCCTGTCCGATGCTGGCAGCGAATTGCACGCTGCAAAGATGAACTTACCACAACAAGCATGCTGGCAGGCCTCCACAGGGGAAGCCTTGGAGAGTTGGGAAGGCCGGATGCCTGCGGAGCATTGGCTTCGGGCCTCTGTGGTCGTGGCTTCCGTGCCAATCGTGGTGGCAGATGGGTCTGGCACCAAGCGCCGCTGCCGAACGCCTCCTCGGCCCGGCTCGGCTATTCTAGTCAACGTGGCAGGGTGACAAGGCAAATCCCAGGACATAAGCCCATTCAAACATCTCCTCTGGTTCCAAACGCCGGAGTCGAACCAACTACTCTTTCCTCACCGCCCTGGATAATTTCTTGAAACAAACATGCAAGCAAGGATTTAAAGAAATACCTGCTTTGCCAAACAGCCGCTCCACTTCGGACCATCCCCGCCCCCTTCCCAAAAATTGCCATGGCGTGGGATCTTCAAGGTAGTCGTAAGCCTTTGCTGGCATTGGATAGCACGGATGCTAAGGTGTCGCTGGGGGATCAAATCGCAAGAGGTCCTGTGCAGTGCGGCCAAGCTGCTCACTTGCAAACCCATGCTGGTCAGGACGCAGTCCTCAGTTGCATGCGTCCAACTGAGCCTGCAGTGACTGACGGCTGGTGGCAAAAGCAATATTATCTTCTTGCTTTAAAGCTTCCCTTGTATCGGCCCAGTCTACCTGGGACACATTGCCCGTCCCAGCGTCCGCCAGTGAATACAAATTTCGTGGACAAAAAAAACAAACTGCAGGCACAATATGTTCTCAATATCTTCAGCCAAAACTCCAAGCCGCCGGATTGGTCCTGGGCAATGGGTGGGGTTTGCGAAGGTTGGCACGGCTCTTGCCTTTTGGACCCAGGAATCTCTGGTTTGACCTAAATGCTAACAAAATCAACGCAGCATCCTTGCCCCGAATCTGGTTGCCCCCCTCGAAACAAGAGCGCGCGGCAAAAAAGAGACAGCTCTCCTCGATGCGAGACCGTCCCCGGCGCAGGTCTTGCACGGAGCCCCGTCGTTCAAGATGCGGAAGAAGCTCAGAGGTGTTGTAATCAGAACGACGCCCCTGGCGCAGGGGTCAGAGTTACCTGAGAAAGCTTTGCAATTGGGCGGTATCCAGAATTGTCTTTTGATTAGACGAAACGCATACCCATCTTACAGCTGCCCACCACTACTATTTCTGAATCTGCCAAAGGGGCGCCTCCATCATACACGATACGCATCCGACCTGCAGGTCGTGTGGCCTATCATTTTGCAGCTCTGTACAATGCAGCTGCCCTCTAGTTGCTGGTTTGGAATACCATCGTTCAAAACCACCAATCAAGGTCACCTGAACACTTGGATACAACCTAACGGTTGACGAACTACCGGGAAAGAAAAAAAACAGACTCGACAGTGTTGGTCCACCTAGATTGAGGTTACACCCGAGAAGCCCATCCAGCCAAGCCTTCCACACCGCCATGTGCTTGCTGACTTTCCTCTCTGCCTTGGTAAGCAGACTCGGCCCCGGTGTGTATCTCCTTTGGAATGGAAATCGCAGCTTGCACCTTGTGGGGGGTTTTGCCCCGTTTGCCGTTGTCCGCTCTTGGGGTTTACATGTTTCTTCTTGGCAAGCTGTCAGCTGGCATTCTGCATCCAGGATCAAAGGTCATGATGGTCATGCCACCAGGTTTTACCCCGCAAGCTGAGGCAGGTTGCTCCCTCACGTTTTCCGGATTTTCGAGTCACCTACTCGTGGCTCCGCACGTCTTCCACGGCCCCTTGGCACCAGGGCCATCCAGGCCGAACACTCACATGGCCCAGGCGGCTTCCGAGCCCAGGTCTCAAAGTGAGAAGCCTCTGGCATCATCAAAGCCGCCTCGAGGTATTTTCATCACAATGGGTCCTGGAAACCCCGCTGCTGCCATGCCACTCGTGGAGACGCGAAGCGCCAAAAACTCGTGCGCCGGCGCCGAGGCGCCATGACCTGCAGGATGTGGGGAACGCGGCGCTGATCCGGTCGTGCCAAAGACCTGGCGGGATGGAGACAGGGAGATGTGGAGACCCTACCCACCGTCCCTGACATTTGTGACCTGGAAGCCAGTAGCTTGAAAATGGGGGTCGGTTTCCCATCCCTCTAGAACCAGAAATAAAAATTCCCAAACCACCAATCCGACCCACCAATTCAGGGTAACCTGACACCAGGTACCATCAAACAAATGGAATGTGGTTCTCGTCTCCTCTTCCCAAAGGGTGGAAGCCCTCATCACCTGACCGTAGGCGCTCTTTTGGCCAAATAGATTGCACTGGGTAAATGATTGGAACCAAACTGAAGTCAACGCAGTCAATGTCAAAACAAACTGACCTCAAAACGGACACCTATGCCTCTGCCAATCTGGTTCGGATTGCGATTCGGCAAACTGAGTTGCTTGTTCTGATTAACCGTGCCTGACCTGGACGTGACAGAATGATACACTCTAATTAGTGAGCTTGCTCTATTCTTGAGCTTGTGGTGACTCGGGGTAAAGGCATCTCCGACGTGACAAAGGGGCCCCGGAAACCAGTCGCATTTGGGGGCCATTGCCGGATTCAAGCAGAAACATCCAAGTGGCCAGTGCTTCCATCCCTGCTTCCGAGCAGCTCGGGCAAGCCCCAAAGATCAGCATCTTGGGTCTTTCCGCGCTGGAACTGCTTCTGCAGCGACTTCAGGGCTGCCCGGTAGGAAGCATCTTCGATCCTCGGAGCGCAAACTTCCGGAACCAGGCGAGTTGCCAGGCGAGTTGCGGGAGTCACGCAGGCAACACACGGGACAAAGGGTGATAAATTGGTAAATGGGTGTGTGTGTGTGTCACAACTGGGGACCTCCCTGTGGGCCCACCGCATGGACGTCAACATAATGTGGTGCGGGCATCATGTTCAATGTCTCCTCAAATGAGGGAGCCCATCTTAAATGGCATCACAGCTTCAGAGTGTTGGCCACTTCGCAAAAATCCGTGTGTGTGTTTTTCCTCTATCTAATTCTCAAAGCCCTTCAGCCCATTCCAATCTGGTTCCGATGTCCCAGCTGACGCAAGGCCAGTGGACCCGGAGAGCGGAATGCAACTCGGCCCGGAGCGGTCTTCTGCTGAGCGGCCAATCCAGGGACTCCAGCCAGGGGGCCACACTCCTGCCCACCCTCTCTCCCTCCCTGGAGCCTCGATTGCTCAGAGCCATGGAAAGGTAAAAGGAAGCCTTCGCACCCTGGTGACTTGCGGTTAAAGATGGGCCACAACCTTCCCATGGCTCCTCTTGCCTCTGAATCAATATTGGAATTTGCCTCTTCCTGAAAAGCAGTTAAAAAGTCTCACACGATGAACAACACCCATGATGACTGTGGACAACACCCATGATGACTAACAATCGCCACTATCCGCGTAGTCTTCTGGCCATCCCTTTTCCTCTGCGGATGTGGATTTGCTCAGCTTG